CGACAGCACAGGCAAAGGGAGGGGTGGATAAGTGACGGGAATTGAAAGTCCACACATCTTGGGAGTTGCTAAAGGTGGAGAAACACTGGCTTACCATATTGTGTAAATTATAGCTTAGCATACTGTGAAACTCAATACATTTTGGTAGACAAACCACCACTCAGCACCCCGTCAAAAATTACTTTGGATGTGCACGCTGGCAGCCTTCACGCATGATGCTAGGCCATCATTTTAACCATGGTTTGTTGAACAAGCCACGGCACTCCCTTTCTCCCATGGTGCGAAACCACAGTGGCTGAACCCCAAACAAGCCACATTATAACTCCCTTATATGTAAAGGAGGCGACTGTTAGGAAGAGGAAACGGAGTTCTTTTCTCGACGGCGGAATTAAGCTACAGGGCTGTTTTTGGAAAATGCCCCAAATTTGAACTGCACGAAAGGCGCAGGAGATTTGGGGATCAAGCAGAACCCCCAGTCTGTTTCCTCGAGGCTTCTGCTTATTCTCCTCATGGAGAAGGGGGACTAAGGGAAATTCACCTTCTCTCTCCGTTACAGGCACTCGTCAAATATTTAAACGACTGCGGCGTTCTTCTCTTCCTCACCTCTTCCGTCTTGGCGAAAGAGAAAGGTAAGAAGGGAGGATGACAGGCCTGCAGCCCCTTAAAACCCGGGGGGGGCTTGGTCTGGAAGATGCAGGTTTGGCGAGAGAAGCATCACCCCCTATTTTCTCTTTGCAGGCTCGGATCTGAACGATTTGGCGTCTCTTCAAGCGTTGTTTTTATTTCCATCCCCAGGGCCCAGACATCTCACAGGTACGATGTGTTTCACGTCACCCCCTCTCATTTTTCGGACTTCTTTTTTTCACATTTGGATCTGTTCTTAATTGTTTTTTAGGGTAGTGTGATTTTAGGCTAGCTGATCCAAACAGGTTGAGTTGGGGTGGGATATAAATTCTGTAATAAAGACCCCAGATGTCATGGAGGGGCTGTTCTGTAAGGGTGGAGGCCTCCTCCCTCGTGATTAGGAATGGCAAAAGAAAACGCCTCTGGTGGCTGGCCAGATCTAACCAGTGGAACTCCCTGCCTCAGGAAGAAAGGTTAGCACCTTCCCTGGGGATTTTGGGCTGACTGCTCGGTTTTCTCTTTTTTATGATTTGTTTGGTGCCCTTTCTGTTTTACTCTAAAATAGTGTTTTTCAAACTTGGCCACTTTAAGATGGGTGGACTTCAACTCCCAGAATTCCCCAGC